GGGGGGGGGGGGGTTGCGAGAGTGTGGCTATTTTATGCCAAGCCATTCTGTCTGATTTGAATCTTGGTTGCTACAAGCACTAGTGCAGTGGCCACCACAAGTGACAAAACGGTTTTGCGGAAAGTTTTCTGCTATAGCCGCCATTGCCTGAGTTGATTTTGTGGCTCTGGGATTAGATCCCACGCGTCTCGATCGGAATGAGCTCTCATACCAGCGCAGTAGAGGCGCACGTGCCTGTACAATAAGCAGGGGACCACATTCAACTCCACTTACCTTAGCCTGTCGATCAACTGGTCGTTCAATTGGAAGAAAATCGGGGTGGGGGATTTGGGGGAGAGATTCCGAGCATGCTGTTCAAGATAAGAGGTGGTTCACCAAAGTTCAACGGTCATTCCTTTCATTTGGCTCGACCTTTTGTGGTTAATTACGAACCGTTATCAGAAAGATAATAAATTTTACAAGTGCAATTTTTTCGAAGATAGCTTGAAATTGCACTATCATTATTGCGTTGGAAACGAATCCGATGTTTCTTATTCAGGTATTCAAAAGCAAAAACAACTTCCACATTGTTCCTGAATTCTCAGCATATGTGAATTTTCAGGATGATTTTTTGACAGTTTGTGTCTTTATATGACCTTGTTCGTCCTGAGCAGCGAGAATTAATCTTCGTTAATTACAATGGTCCTGCTTGTTACAAGGTGCGGTTGAGCGAATGACAAGTGCGTTCTGATTTCCGGGGAATTGTAGGTCTGCTGGTTTAAAGGGGACACTTTGATGAGTAGTGACCTTAACCGAATTAGACTGAGTAATTAGAGTGCAACTCAAAGTTTGCAACTATCACAAAACCAACGCCTTTTTCTTTACGTCAAAGAGGACTAACCAGCAATGAATGGATTGTTTAACCTTTAAGCGTAAGATGTGTTGTGACCTGAAACCCGTCCCGGGGCAACACGACTGAAGTTGGATCTGGGCGAATTGAAGATTCACTCACTGTATGTGCGGATCAATGACAGGAAAGTTTAGTCCGACTAGTCTACTTCCGAATTCGTAATACTATTTTCTATACTTTTAAGGATGGAACTTTGTATCTGCCGCTTTCAACAAGAACCGACATCCTTGTGTTTTACCCAAACGTCTTCATTCGTATTGCACGAAGTCAATGTGAGAAGTGCTTATCTCACAAATGAATATATTGGAGAGAAAAAATTGTATTGGAAGCATGCGTGTAACAATGACTTGGTAGGGGATATGCATAATTAATAATGAGCAGCGAGTGGTGCAAAATCGGTTGTATGCTTGCAGCAGCATTTTGCTTAGTCATTCTTGTTTCTAATCACCAGCGTGAAACCAAAATCGTTTACCTCCTTATAGTTGGTTTAATCGAGAAACTAACACGGTCAGGATGTTTGCCAAATTGCATCAAATTGGTCTCGAACAATAGATAGATAGATGTGCAAAAATCTTTTCATTTGTCAAATCTCCAGGATACAAAAAGTTCTTCAAAAAACCAAAGGTTGTGCCGTGTATGAAGCAAAAGCGACTGACATCGGACTCCACCGCCATCTTGTCCCTTGTGCACTCAAAACCAAATTTGAAATAGTCAAGTGCACCTTATCGTTTCACATCAGGTCTTTAGGTGTAATTCTGATCTAAATTTGTTAGGTGGTTTGTAAAAGTAACTGAAATCTATTGCACTCACTTGGATCGAAATGTAGCAATACCGCGCTAAGCAAGGGTTTGTTTACCTCTGTTTTGTTCTTCGTAGCCATTGAATTAGGCACAAATCTGTGGGAAAAATAATATTCTAAACTTCAAGTTAATCCTTACCAAATAAAGAAACAAAATTAACCAGAAAAATAATCCTGTGTTTTATACTGAGTCCAACAATAGTATCCAAAATACGAATGACACATAGAATGATTTAAGGACGGTTACCACATATTGCAATGTCAATATATTGCTTGCATCAAATTCCTAAAATATTAAAGTAAAACGATTTGCGTGGTTCGCTTCAACCACTTGCTCTTATGTAGCTTTGCTGCTGACCACACTCGGTAAGCCAAACTTCTTTCTGTCGTCAACCTACCCCGTCTTCTTCTAATTTTCTTCTGCTTCGGTATGACTTTAGATCGATATTCAATTCGCTGAATTGGGTTTTACTTTCTCGCTAATGAACGCGAGAAAACCAGAAAATGAACCCATTTAATCACTCTTCCTCCAATCAATGTCTGCGTGCTCACCATCCAGTACAATTTATCGAAGCATTTTTGTGACAAGCAGTTCGAGTAAATGTGTGAACATACGGATACATTTTCTCACTCATTGTCTGTTATCGGCATTGGGTGCAATACACAATAGATCTTCCGATCCATTGTGTAATTTATTCTGGAATGAGGGACCTTAAGTTACTTAGCTTCTTCTATCCCAAACCAGTATGCATATTCATATTGATGATTATTCGGATGATGATGATGCTTCGGATGATTATGATGTTGAGAAAACTGGTCAGTGAGCAAACAATTGTGTTCGGATATTCCTAGTCATGCTCTTACATATCATATAGTGGAAAAATTCTTACATAATGATAGCCATTAGCTCAATTTTAAGATCATTAACTAGAGGCAGAGAGTATTAGGTGTGTGTGGGGGGGGGCAGTGCTTAGCGTGTTAGTTGATGTGACCTTTTCCCATCTGGGTTAAGTGACACGGCATTTACTGTCTTGGTTTTCACACCCGGCCAAGGCAACTGGAACGCCTGCATCAGTCCTTTTTGGGCACATAGGTTAGGGCCTAGTAAGCGAATGGCTATCGCCTCGGTCATGGCCAGTGTCCAAACTGGGGCCGCCTTCGATCGATTGAGTGGGATACGATAGACAATATCGAAAGCTTCTCCGGTTCGATCTTGTGCCCGGTGTCGACGAGATGCCCCACGATCGCGCTTGAGATGCAGCCAGTCTTCCCCTGACTTAACCATCACTAGGGGAGCTCCTCAACACGCTGAGACAGACGCCTTACCGTACAACTTATGTAGCATGCGCCACAGTCGCACTTAAAAGAGTAAATTATCATGGATGAGGTCACACACACGCATCATGTCAGCGAGACAATAACACTTGAAATGCGGGGCTAACTTGTGAATCTGGTCTCGGGTGATGAAGCTAAAGTGATTTGCAAGTGGAGGGGAGTGTGGACCTGAAAGCGAAAATGAACTACCTATATCCGATGTGACTATACAACTCCTCTCTTAACCCAACCTCTTGCCCATCAATTAAATCAATGTATACGGCGATAGACAAGTCAGGTAAATGAACTTCCTACTGTCATGTCAACCTGGTTTGGTTGATAAGACGTGGTTGAGTAATTAGCAGACCATGGATTGATGTGTGAGACACAATAACACGAGGCATGATCCTTTGTGTGAAATCAAGTAGATTTATCTATCGGTGCGAAAGAAGAAAATACAACAAAGTATCTCTATCGCTTCTAATAAACTTCTGAAATTGTATTTTGATGCTAAATGCTCTCAATCAATTAAATCTCCTTCTTTGTGCTTACCATTCTGCATCGGGCAATTTGGCACCACGTTCAAGGGACAGCTCACCTCACATCTCTGGCACTCCACGTTCACCAAATTGGTTGAATTGTTGACCGATATGCGTTTCTACTGCTGTTTTATATACTTCGGAAACAAAATGCCGTTTTGAATAGATGTAAGTATATATCTGATGTCAGGATGATTTCGCCCACATAAGTTGGCGCTCTGCGTTTCCTCAATTAAAGAAAATGAGGATATTTCACGATCTCAGTGATGGAATTTACTGGCGTTTGATGGAAGGAACTCAAAAAAACTGCAACCGAGTGCACTGCACTTGCTCAGTCGAACTGGCTACTCCCTCATGGGCCGAAAACACCTAATTATTTCAGCAATTGGAAAATTACGATGGTTAGCTACTTTGATAAACTTCGATATCATATGAGAAGGTACAATGAGAAATAGCACAGTTCAATTTGTTGTCGTTTGAATAGTGGTCTTCTCTGAAGGTAGTCAGACACTCGATCGTATCCTTGGACACAAATGATAAAATATCACCTGTCTTCCTCAGCATACGTTCTCGGGCATGACACCGACCTCGCTACATTGGCGGAATGTCTGCTCCCTGTGTTTGTAAGGATAAGGCGGACGTGTGCAACAAACCGTCAAACATGCAGATGCGACGAATGGGTGGGTGCACGTAAGCTAATGCAGCCAGCTTCCCCAGGGAGTTTGAGGTTCTTCTATTAACAATTTACGGCCGTCCATTGCGGCGCGAAACGAATTAATATGCATGCGATCGCTTGTCAAAGTGAACTGCATTATTTTCTTCCATGATCTATTAGATCTGATGTTTTAGCCATGCAAACTTTGGAACCACGAATCACGAATATTTCACAAAATAGTTTGATGTTCTCCGCAATATTGATGCATTCTTCAACTATCTGACTCGAGTGCATGAACTGCATAGAAAAAATCACTCTGTGAATACCTTACTCGCTGGATTGGAAGGTGACTTTTATTTCTCAAGGAGCAGTCAAACAACCACCCAATTCAAACAATCAAAATAACTCGTGTCGGGGAAAATGTTTCCTATTACTATTTTGTCGCTTCGGTTCTCCATTTTCGAGGTGCTTCTCTTCTTTTTGTTCGATCCTATCGTTCTTTTATTCTGTGAAAGGAACCGGACAGGAGTCGGTTGCGCTACGCTTCACCTTTGGGTTTTCACTCGGGATCCTTTCAGTGTGGCTACGGAAAGGTGCCAGCACTTTACACTGATTCCATTCATGCTCTGACCCTCAACTCCTTATAATCTTTTTGAGGGTTCGGTTTAGAATATTTTCATGTATATGGCACGAAATGATCTACCTGTCAAATGAATGCAAACGATTGCTACCCTCGTCTGGGACGTCTTTATTTGGTGTAAGTTTGGGACAGAACAAGATACATTTGGAAATGGTTTTCTACTTGACTTCATATACTGTGACAATAGTTATTGAAAAATGGTTTAAAATGAAAATCACAAACTTTAGTGATCTGCAGATCCGCACATAAGATTGTGCGTGAAAGTTTCGGTACAAAACATCCGTATTGTCTCCTCATAAGTTTTGTGCGAAATGTTTCTGACATTTTGCATTATATAACTCGGCACACGGAAAAGCCATATATTTTGTCTATGCCAAAATAAAACGACATACTGAAACGCACTTATATTTGAAAGCTGTGACTGATAAATAAATTTTCCTTTTTTCCCTCGAATCATTGGAATTGTGGTTTAGCGTGCATCGTGGTCGACTCGGCGTATGGTTCACCGAGGAACTTAAAGTGGCCCGGGCTCAAGGTCGTGTACGTGGAGTAAGCGGTCCGGAGGCGCTTCGTTCATCTCTCCTTCGACTCAAGCGTAAGTGAAATTGACACCGCATCCTTTATTACTTTTGTGTTTATTTCCTGTGCTCGCATCATATTCCTCAATTGCATACTTATATCACCATCAAAACTACTCAAATTTATCGTTCTCTGCACCAAAAAAAATCTATCGCAGTCTGCACACTTAACCTCTATCCTCCATAATCATAAGCCATTTTCGGAACCTTTTGGAACCTGGTCTTACTTGGAATGCGGTCACGTAAGTCTGGATCACCACAAGAAACCTTCAAGTGCAATTCCAAGGCAGGTGCTAATTCCTCACTCAAAACTGTGCTTACATATCAACACAGAATACGCTCGGTGCAGACAGAGTATGAAAGGCACTGAATCAGGTCAAGCACAGTAAACCATCCCCCATATTTCTGTACCAATCGCTGAACGAAAAAGAGCATTTGTTATCTGTTGGAAACTGTTCTCAGTGGGACAACAAACTCCGAATCATAGTAGTGATGATCACCGAAACCGTTGAAGAACAGTGTGTCTGAAAACATATGCCTCATGCAACAAATTCCGTTCACGCGGAAGCAACTTCCAGTTTTACTCCATGCACGCAAAAAATTACTAGATTTCACAAAATACCCCAACTACTTCCGCATTGATCCGACTGTGACTAATCACATCGACTGTTTATAGTTTCACTGAGAGAAATGCATCGGTCATGCGGTCCGTGCACCGTGTTCTGTTTTTCTTCTGACTAATAAGAACACTAAAATTGCCCGTGTCGGGTCAGAATTCAATGCAGCACATTCCTCAATTAAGTGCATAACTGAATCAGAGGAGAATGATTCCCTTCCGTTTTTGGATGTTCATCTGACCAGACACCCCGATGGCTCCAACCAAAGAAAAGTATATTGAAAAGCAACATGGAGTGGGCAGTACACAAACTTTCATAACTTCGTCCCACTCTATCAAAAACGCAACCTCGTACGCTTTCACCCGAAGAGAGTAAGGCGAATGTGTTCAGAAGATACTTTAAAGGAAGAACTTGAACCAGTGAAGAGAACCTTAATAAAAAATGGCTATCCTGAAATGTTTATCGACCGTAATTGGACTGAACAGAATAAGGCAACAAAAATACCAAAAGCGGAGAAGAAAATGCTTTTTATAAAACTCCCATTGAAAGTTGATGTCGCCACTGAGAAGGTCATTAGAGTTTTATTCGCCGCAGTGAAATCCACCTTTAATGCCACTCAGTTAAGACGCGTGTTCTCTACGTCACCAAACAGCCGATGTTATAACAAAGATGAGCTGCCTATGTTGATCTAATCTATGGTTGTTTATCAATTCAAGTGCTCCTGTGGTGCGACTTATATAGGTCGAACGACAAGGCAGTTATCTCAACGGATCAAAGAACACGGTCCACGCTGGTTCACACAAGGTGTGAGAGGAACTGTGTCGAACACGATCGTTGCTCACTGGTAGAGACCGGACACTTGAATGACAATCGCTCGGCATTTTCAATCATTTATCGAGTCTCACCACACCCGACGAGAGCAATAAGGTTAGGTTAGGAGGTTAGCAACCGCAGAGGCGATTAGCATCCGACTCATGAAGTCTGAGCCGTGGGCACAACGAAAACTGATTCAAACTGGCAAACTCCCCTGGCCAGTGGAAGAGAAAATCACCTGACCGTATGATCATGGCGTAATATAGCAACTTCCGGTTACGTAATCCAAACAGTGTATAGACTTGGAATTCTCTCAGTCTCATTACCAAACACATGACTCATCCATCTTTCTTCTTTTTGACCCTGTTGAAATCGTTTCATATAAATGTGATTATAAACGCCTGAAAAGGAATTCTCCAAAAACATTAGGGAACTGTTTTCCTACCTTTCAGTCCTAGTGGGCATTATGTATCACTTAAATAAAGGGATCAAACTCAAGTCCTGGTACGAAAGCATAGATCCATTTTACAACAGAAATATGTATACAAAGGATTAAGCAGAGCATATTTGGAAACAAGTGAAAGAACACGGTGACAATCGAGATCAATAGCTCACTATTACAGCAAAACATATTTATCATTGTAGACAAACGAATCTAGTATCTAAGGTTGAAGTGTAGAGCAGCTGACAGGCAGTCTTTCTTCATGTTCATCGATTCACCTGCTCCCGTGAGTGGAACTTATTTTCCGCACGACTGTGCCTGTCCGTGCTCATCTGCGACGAGCACCATTCTGCATGACTGAGAAGTGGAGTAGTTAAGTCGATCGATAATGTGGCTTCCTTGCTTCCCGTGGACAATGTTCACATCGTAGATGCAACTGAAACATCTGTTCATGTAGACGTACTAGTTTCATCATTCAAGCCACACCAGAGGCAATTTAGACAGGCTCTTAAGTACCGTTTGCGCGACCCCCGTCAGGTGCCTGGTCCGAAATCATCCAAAAGGCTATAACTGGCTTATTATGAGATATACTGAAATGAATCTATATGTAGTATCTGGATAAAATTCACATCAGAAATAGGCAACTATTCAGACTCGTGTGGAGACGCTCAGGTTATACCGTCTTCATCATTAGTGAACAATTATTTGTAGTAAGTCGTTTATAATTTGCTGTATTGACATGATTGTGAAAAACGGCGAACGAGACTGTTTGGCGGTGTTTTGAGATGTATTCTGTAGAACTCATCAAATAAATGTATTTTTCCTCAAGGCAAAGTATACCACACGAAATTTTCAAAATATACCCTACTGATTAAATTCGGAATCATTTTTCGTCGCCCCATGCGAATTTACGGATACCAGGGTCTGCGTACTGCTTTTGTTATGACTGCCCGTCGTCTGTACAGGAGTACACGTTTAGGCACCCAACCGGAAAGTTCGGGGGCACAAAAGCTGTTCGTATTGCTGATGAACCCCTACCTAAGAAGAAATCCTGTTCAGTACCTGTGGTCGGTTACCACACCACACCATAACATCACACAAATCTTACTGTTTTATTTCTGAAGCATCACATACAAAACAAGAGATTTTTTTGGCCGAACGTGTGACTAAAGAAACTATGCAGCAAACTTTTAGTACACTTCTGCTTTCAAAGTATTCTCCTTTGTTTAATGCTCACAATATCTTTAGAACCATCATTGCATTGGTATTTTTTGTTATCATAAACTATTGTGTGATGAACAGCAGACGGGCTAAACCCCATATTCACGACGGCCTGCTGTCCGGGGATGGAAACCAGCAACCTAAGTCCTAGGACTCAGAGTTGTAAACCACATAAGGCCAAACTATACAAAACGTCCTACGCTTCGGCTACTTTGTTTCAATTAATGGCTCAATCTGCACTAATTGTAGTTTCGAAGTAAGATACATTAACTTGGTCGTAAAATTTCGCTTAGTTTTGGTCCTTGTCTGGCTCTAAAACTTTTAGATTGTATTTGAATTGAATAACTAGAAACCATCGGATAAACTGCATCCAGTCGGCACGCGAGATTTCCTTCACTCCCCTACCCAGGCGTATTTATTATATGCTCTTCTGTTCCATCTCCTACCCAGTAACCATGGCAATTTCCTTACGCGTTGCATCTGACTGATCCATGCCGTGCATACATTCGGATGCACAAATAAACCCAACCCGTTACGATTTTAGAATAGGTAAATCCCAATTGAAGTAAATTGGCACATGTTTTGCACGGAATAAGTAATCGCGCAGTCGTTATAAAACAAATTTTTCAAACCTCTCCTTCTATTTTGCGAAATTTTTGAGTCAGGAAGACGCGCTTTTCGTTTGCAAGGCTGTCAGTATAGGACACAAAAAGTAGGCCTGAAAATAGGTTACTACAAGCTTTGATAAATCATTGGTTTAACTGGGTTTGGTTTCCGAAACCGATAAAAACGAGGAACAAAGGATCATGAGGATTAGATGACCGAGTTTTCAATATGGGACCTACATGTCCTATTGTGACTACATTAAACGCCTCAGAGTACTACTCAGCCGTGCACGTTTGATGGAAAGGATAAAATCTATGCATCTTTAGTTGCTTTGAGGTTGATGCTCACCATTTTTAGGCTATACAGTCGCACAGTTGTGGTTNTCCAAGCTCATGGTGTCGGGTCATCAATTGCCGATTTCTCCTATTAGCTCCCGTAGTTGTAATTTACCGCTATCAACGCTATGAACCGGCTGGAACAACAAACGAGTGAACTCATCTCACCACTTTACAACGTGACTTCATTCAAATCCAGCGCTCTTTGAGTGCATTATCTGGGTTTGTGGTCTGTATAATACATACACTCCAGGAGTTACAATCTGGAAGCTTCAGACAAATAGACAACACAGGTTCAGAGCTGAAAATGAAGTTATAGATTCATTACTGGATGAACGTCACTTGCAGTAGTTAATGTAACTCATCAGACACCATGCACTACATTGGGCTTGGGATTTGGACCATCGGACCTCCCTAAACTTTATTTATTTCGAAAAAAATATGACCATGAATTCAGCTTGGTTAATGAACAAATAGTACAGGTTATTACATGGTGATGAAGTCCTGTGGAGCTATTGGCTACCCGCTGAAGTCATTGTACGGTTCTTTGGCTTAGCATAAACTTAGATCATTCGCTGCCTACCGGGTGGAAGTAGAGCTAGACGCCTGATGGCCTAAACGCGATCATGATCACTGTATTTTATTTAACTCCGACATGACAAAAGCTTTTTATCCATGGGCTATATAAAGACGTAATTTCAGCTTATGAATTTGGATTCAATAGGCCACTCACTTCTTCACAACTGCTCTCCCTTATCCACCTTCCACATAAACACACACGCAAACACCAAGCGCACCAATTATCGCAATTATATCACCTCTTTCTAAACTCTGATTTCTTTCGAAAGTGTGTCTACTCTCAGCATCTGTTTAAGATATAAATTGTACTCCATTTAGCCGGCTGATGTAGCACCGTTAATAAGATTGTTTGCTAGCCTGTTTACTCATGACCCCTCGATCGGCGGTAGTTTCGCAAAGACAAATATGCTTGATCTTCTGTTAATACAGAATAGATAATGTAGCTCTAAGAGAAAACATCCCACAAAAACAAACAAACATGTATGGGCGAGTTCCGAAGTGGAGATATGATTTCCTAAGACCAGTTGACCGAATAACCTATGAACACAATATATTTCGAATAGTACATCTGCCAGCATAATTTCATCATACCACGCATGGTTCTTTATCCCTTACAAATATGTTGCACTCAACTATGCAGTGCTTACATTCGTGTTTCACCCATTTCTCCTTGTCAACCGTGTCCCCTTCCTCAACTGCTCATGCTGTGATAATGTTCCCATCGTTCCAATCTGTTCCCAACCGGTGGGATAAAATCAGGTGAATCCCGTGCAAATTCGCTGTTACAGAATGCTGCAAGTAAGTCACTCTTCCACGTGTCACAAATTTTGGTTTTACTCCCAATTTCGGTCATGTTCGTTGCAGCTTTTGTTGTTCTTGTTCTTGTTCTCGATACTTTTGTGACATGTGTGCTTGATGGACGAAACACAATTGACAAAATTTGTGTTGTACACCTTGCGATGTCAAAAACTGTTTACTATAATTGCTCTCACCTGACAAATATGTCAAATTTGTTTGGAACATGTGACGCTTCGTTCGAAAAAAGTTAGCAGAGCACGTGATCGTCGTGAATAATCGAAAGAAACGTGGAATCTGTTCTCCTTCGCACGCCCTCTATTGCTCTCAGTGTCTGTCCAAAATTATGCACACCAGTTGAAGTTCTGCCAACATCAACTTCCAACTAAACTTGGTAAAGATGCTGATTACTGGTAGAAAAAATGAAGCCCTCGATCATTTTTATCATCGTAATAAACAACTTTTTACGACAAGTAAGTAATAAACGCCATTTGGTTTTTCTGCTGAAACCGTAACGGAAGTATTGTTGTTTCATAACCCATCGTCTTCTGTCCACCATAATGCAAGCCGGAACCATTAACAAACCATTTTTATAAGTATGAAATAGGGGATCCTTCTCTCAAGTTTGTTTTGCCTCATTGGTAAAATCAGTAAAACCGAAAGTACTTTACTACCAACCTGATTGAGCAGACGAATTTCCAGACTGATCACCGCAAATTTGAAGAGTTATATGCTCAAACCTAAGGTGTGAAAATGGACTAGTCATAAAGTTAAACTGTGTGTACCATAATGATTATTTTTCTAATAAACGTTTTACTCTATATTGAAAAGATAAACGCATCATCATTTCTGAGACCGCTTGATGGATACCGCTTATTCTGGGAAGCAATCATAAAAGACATTTGAACTCATGCTCCACTTATCAATAACTGATTCTAGGACTTGTATAAGCATAACGTTTGTCGAGTACCACACAAAGCTCCCATGCAAACTACTGTGCAACTTCTGTTTTGCTTTGGATCGAATAATTTTTGACACCACACTTTGTTTCTAACGTTGATCTGACTTACCGTGGAACTGCAAAATTGAATTGCATTACGTCGTACGCGGGCGCACTATATCCCATCCACGATAATGTAGATATCTTGCATGATTATTGCGCGAGTCACGATGAATATGAACAAATGCAGGTGATCAACTCGTCTTTGGAGACTAAATTAGCTTTTTCCCCTGATTCGTTTAACATATTCTTGTTAGGTTCTGTTTTGATACCGTGGAAGGGTGATATATATATATATATATATATATATATATTCCGCTGTTCCAAAAGAGGCACCGACCGAAGAGCGTCCTCTGTGACAACCGATTTTCTCTGTTTATTGACAATATCGCTCGTTTCTTTTGAATGACGCAAAGATGGTGGTGTTACTCATGCATTTATCTTACTTTGCGCTCGTTCTCCAACACAGTCATTGTATGATCAAACCCCAGTTATTTAACACAGAAATCGAAAATTTTGGTGGTATGCCTTGTTGTTGTTGTTTTCAACTCGTACTGTGTGCATATATACAGAACAAGAACAGCATCACTTGTTTGTTTTTTAACTGCACTTATCTTTAGATCGGTTAGTGACTGTCTTTACTACATTCATTGACCGAAGCCTACCTGGTCAAAAGTCCCTAAATGATGTGTCTAAAGGAAACTTTCAACTTTTATTATTTTCATCGGAGAGCTAATTGATAAACTAAAATAGGACCAGCAACATGGAGGTTGAACCAATTTAGCAAATACTAGAAGCTTAAATCAACAACAAGTTTCTAACAGCCACAGTTCGCATAACCGTTTACCATCCAAGTCAGTTTCTCATTGCTATCATACACAATTTTGAGTGTCGGATACCGAATAAAAACCGGATTTATTTATCACTAAAACCCATGATTAAAGTGTTACCGTGTCTATGAATCCTTCGTAGAGTATATTTTTTGAGTAGGATCGCATATGAATTTGACTCCCGGCAGATAAATGAATCTCATACCGGAAGTTTACAAATCAAGTTAGATCGTCGAACGCCATGCTTAAATTGGTTTCTAGAACCATTTTAATTCCAAGAATTTGTGTACTAAACGTCAGGAGCATTAAATCAATCAGTCACCGGAAACTGAAGCGGTGGAGGTTACAGTAGGTAGCTTGTGACACCGACTTGTAAAATTTGGTTACAATTTCCTATGACTAGCCTAATTTCTATCGTAGTATGTGAACCTGCCATTTGATATGGATAGCTCCAATTCCCCACTTCATACATGCATATTAAGCAGCGGCATGTAGAGCCGCACCCCGAAACTACCTTTTGATTGGAAAAATACTTTTTCGCTCGAAATAATCACGGTTTGGTTATATGGGGCATGAGGCAAGTTCTACTGTCGTGATTATTTACTTTGCACGACTTAGTGTAATATACGCCTGATGGCTTTCATACGTTCCTCAGCTTTGTTTTGTGGTATATATGGTCGCGTTTCTGGCACTCGCCCACGAGATCACATTTATCGAAAATAGCACAGAAGCTTTGCCTGATCCCTATCGATTGTATCATCACCAGACAGCTACAGAATAAATAATTTAGATCACTATTGACGTTCACCTTTATTCATTGATGAGCAAGATTTTCATGAGGAATCTTCTTTTATTCACTCATTATTTGACAGTTTTGTAATCATTTTTTTCTGCTCACTGCACACATTATTGCAAAGAATACTGAATTCCACTCAGATCTGATGCAGTTATGCGGTGTTAGAGAGAATGTTCTTGCTATGATCTTACAAATACGTCTTCATTGAGCCATTAAGTTGCCTTTACCTTTGTTTCACGAGATTTTTCCCACTCCTTTCACATCCAACTATTCTTGATGCACTGTTAGATGGCAGATGGAGGTCTGGTTCTCTGAGCATACGCACAAATCACGTGATTACTTTGCGATCTCAGTCGGTGGTATCGAAAGATGAGTTCCGTGGAATCCAGGAGGGTTGGCAATTTTTCCGTTGTATCCTGTTCTCCATGTTAATAATGGGAAAAATTCTTGAAGAGTTTCCTCTGGTTGAGACCTACAGCAAATGTAAAATTGCGGAAAGTCGATTCACTGTTATCATAATGCCATGAATGGAGTGGTTCAGTCCAGGCACTTCGTTTACCTAATGAAAAAAACAAAACTAATTCTGGAAAAGAAATCGAACGGATTCTTTGTTATTCGTTCAGTTCACGGGACAGTGGTGATGGTAATAGTGAGGAGGAGTAGGAAGAATGAAAAGTTTCCTCTCCTCCTTTAATCCTAAAGTTGAAAAGATGAACACAGCCGCTAGGGAAGCAATTTCCCCAAGCTTTCGATTGTCACGCCTTACTGAACCCTGTATTGTGCGTAATACAAAACGGAAACCACCCAATCGTTCTTCCTATCCGTCCTCTAGGAGATGAATGGAATTGGGTTACTCTGTCAGAGAAACTGATCCAGTCTTGCAGACTTCAACTTAGGAGGAAGGCGTAGAGCGAATGAACCTTAATTAAAAACAAGCAGAACAATCTCACTGTTCATTCAGTAAAACCGTCGTTGATTGTGCACTACGTCTGGGACAGCCGAGATTTTAATATTGAGTTGTTGTATCAGCAAACAGAGGTTGTGGTGATAGAATGAGCATGATTTCCAACACAAAACACCGTAAATTATTCACTGCAAAACATAAAAGAGAGATGTAACATCCCGACCGGGTGCAACCCGGATAAAACAACCTCCGTCTTAAATGGTACACCAGGGGAGATTGCTTGCACAGTTTTTCGCTCAATTTGCTTTACAGTTGGACGTATTCAGTTATCGGTATTCTTATCCATTTTCGCCGGAAACGATCTAACACTCAGTCAGTATTGTTGTCTTCGACGCGTTAGGCTGATGAACTTTAGCATTGCGTTGGCATTTCGTGATGTGTATTCTGAACAGGAACTGAAAGAAGCTTTCTTTTCTCTATTAGTTATGTCGTATTCGTCTATAGGATTTGCGATTGATCGGATCTTGTTCTAATGCCTTTCGTGATCACATGATTCGATCAGTGATTGATTTATGTTCGTTGACACTTTTTGATAGTTGGTTGATTCACTGGGCCTCGTATATGTGCACGACCGAGTGTTTGTTTGTCTGTTCATCTATCCACCTAATCACCCAAACGTACACAGGCATTTCTCCGTGTCCGTCATACACCACATTCCCTGAGGAGACAGGAAACGCGTCTGAAATGGAACCTGACTATGGACATTGGGCCGCCTCGGTTCCAGAACCGGCACCATCAATAGATCGATCATTGTCACGGACATCACTCGACGATTTAGAGATTCCGTTCGTAAATGTTAGGGATGACGGCGAAGACCTGGACACAACTTATCAGCGTAATGCAAAACAGCTGGAGCAAAAAGAGGCTTCGATTCGCTCAAAAGGAGAAGTCTCCGTTTCATCTGTCGCACCTCGAGAAGAACAACCTACGGATAAATCTGAATGGATGAGTCCTCGAGTTTCTATTGAACATGCCAGTCCCCCACTTAAAACTTCCACAGTCAGTGTCAGTCGGAACAAAATGTCGTTTGGGGAATTCGAGGCGTCTGAAGGAGAACCAAAACTGCAAAGCCTCGATGTCGTGGGTCAGGAGACACCGATCAAATCGGCCTCGAGGGTGCAAAAGTCATACGAGAGTGAGTTGAGAACGCCCGACGACACGGAGCTACTCTCCGAGCCATCATTCATAGGTATGCTCCAGGGTGATTTGACGGGGGCTGAGGCGGAATCCCACCTGGCAGCCAGACGTCGATTCCGACGCGTGCGATGTAGGAACCCACTGGATTTTAGTGATGTAGCCATAGTTTTTAGCCTTCTGCTGCCACAGTTATGATCAAATAGTTCTTCCAGATGGGTGTTTCTTTTATCTCCAATCGGAGTGTATCATTTATTTATTCATTTTTATCTTCCTTCGTCATCGCTGATCATAAGAACCTCCGATTACTACTTTCGTTTGCCTTCCCTAAGAGCTGTGCCAAACATGCTACTTATGGTGAACTGCATCGCTGATCCCACTTTTATCACCCGATTTCCAGTCTGCTTGCGGGGACCAGGTTTTACATCAGTCACGGGTGAATTTTTCATTGAGTGACTTATTGATATCTTAAATTCAGTTTTAGCGAGTCTAATACGACCAAATCGATCGCCGTCCAGTCCAACACAAGGTCAGCCATTAAATCATGTGGTAACTCATTATCTTTCAAGTTTTCACTGTCATTTTAGGGAGTTTCTTGTTGTTGTTTAAATATTTTTTCAAAAATTCATTTACGATTTTCCAGGATATATAAAGCAGACACGGTATGACACATCCCAATTTTATTTGAAATGGGTTGTTTCTTCTGGTGAACTTGCCAAATTACCAAAAGTGTCACTATGGTCAGCGACCGAGCAGCTTACTTTTTACAGGTAGCCCTCAAATCCAGCTGAGATACTGACTCGTGTTAAAAAGAACAATGCTAACTTTGTTTTTTGCATGCGTGTGTGGTTTAGTTCACTCCCCAATCGTCATCACAAGTTCGCGCTGGTTCTCTCATCAGATCGATGCGGTAGTTCAGTCTATTGGTATGGGTGATTTCTTTGCGAGATCATCTCCGGTGTACGTGACCACATAAATTTAGACTTTTCGGCACATGGCACAAATTTAAAGTTTTCAGTATCGCAATAGCTCCGGCTCTGGCCGTAGAACTATTAACAGAATCGGTATGTGGTGTAAATTTTGGCCAACGCAAATCCGGTTGCCAACAAGGGCCATGCACTCCCATAGACATGGCTTCTGGTGCAAATATCCAGGGGAATTGTTTTGAATTTGTGTTTTGCATCCGTTCAAAGGACAGTTTCATATACACACTTTTTTCATTCAGTTTATCATCAAAGCGTCATGTTGCCTCGAAATCACGAGTTTAGAGACCGGTTCTAATGAGAAACGGACACATAAAGTTGCCGATTTGCATCAAAAATACCCAAGCTTTCCGCAAGCAGTTTGGTCATTGCTTGCTAATTGGTCATTTTCAAATTACTGAACTTGGTGTCATCGTCCGTTTAGAAGTTGCAAGACGTCCCTTTTGTTACATCACCAATCACAGTTGTATTTTACTCATCGGTCTTTGTGTGAACCCTGTATGGCGTGCGGGTCTTCAGTCCGTGTGTGTACTTGTGTCAAAGTGCTGTGTCTTTACACAAATGCGTTTGGGTGTTCTTGACTGGGTGGACGGGTGAGCAAACGCATTGATCCATACCCACCCAGAAGATTGAATTGATTCCAAGCAAAGTTTTTCCCCGATAGAAGATACCTCATTTGGTCACCCATAACATTTATCAATCATCCTCTGATTAAGCATTGATTGCAAGGTGAGCTGGTGCATTGATCGAGGTTCAAAAATGATTTGAATCAATCAATTCCCATAAAAATCCGTTTACAGTGCGAGAAACCTTGCTTTCTCCTTTTCTTATGAGGCGGTGCCATGAAAACACCATCGATTACCAATAATCATAATGGTTAGATGAAACCAGATGCCCAGTGGTATGAATTTTATCACCAATTTTTCCAGTTCTCGTAGGCTCTCATAAGGAAAATAAAGTGATCCTTTGCTATAACAAATGACCCGAAATAACGCTCAATACTTAGGCGATAACGGTTGGGTCGTAAAATGCGCATAATTTACAGTTGCAGAATCAATCATTGGTTTGCCTGACCTGGTTATTTTACTGAGAAGTTATATTGACCTGTTTGTCCGTAACCATTATTCCCATTTAGCTAATGTGATATTTATTCATTGTGGTAAAGACAGTAGTATTAATCTTGTGAACGGTTGAATACAACTCTCCATGTCAGTGGAATGTAACACAGTTGAGCAGCTTTGCTCAATTTCTCTCTATCTACTACCAGTTTTCTTTTTTCTCATGTGTTATTATTATTATGACATCAATCTCCACGTAAACAGCACTCGCTTCATTAGACTGGATTTCATAACCACCTACTGTTGATGTTTTACATTGCACAATACCAAAACTCATTTGCATGAATCGTCGGAGAGGGATACACACACTCGTGTACACTTTTGAAAACTGTCTCGCAATCGATCTGAGCATATTCATACATCCACTGTTGAGATTTCTCGACAAAATTTTACTCAACCAAATTGCCTCCTCCAAAATCAGGTCGTGAATTATAGATGTCGCCAACCACTTCTTCCTTCAATGACCCCGTTGCTTTGAAGAAAAGAGAAGGCAAACATGAGGCTAAATAATTGTGCACCTATGTGCAAGGAGAGGTGGAAAATATTTGAATCAAATGTTTCTGGTTTTACGATTAATATCTTGAAGCCGAGACCGTTCGAAAAAACTTCTAATCATTTAATTGGATGTTGACAAAATATTGCTGTGGCATGGTTGTAGTGGGTTTAGCGTAGAATAAAGAATTAACAGCGAAGTCCACAAGTTTGTGAAAAGCACCAGCAGACTTTCAATACGTGCATTAAATCAGGCGAATCTACCCAATACCTAAATCCTATAATCGATTTTTTAACTAGACAAAAATATATTAACGTTCCACCAGTCACTCCAGAGTACATTTTTATCAATTCACTCCGAATAAAAGAGAAGTTTCGAGATAATCAACTGTGAAACTACAGGTCTAATCGAAACTGAAGCAACCGGTCCCTGTGAAACATTTGTCGGTTCGTATAGGCAATAGCATTTATACTGAAGTAAATTTTCTTTCCAAGTAATAATAAACAATCCTTGGTAAGTCTCTTTAGACGTGATTTTTATGATTATTTTATACTCAGCAGATGGAATGGTTCAGAATGCAGCGGGTACTCCTATTTTGTCAGTAGTGGTTGACCTGGACCATGATGAGTTAAGAGGTAACTAAAGAGAATGGAATTAATACTGATAATAAGCAAGATGTAAATTTTGTGTACACTATTGGTCGATTGGCTTACCTTTGTTCTTTAGGACTTTTTCGAGTCTCTTCGGCATCGAATCCACAAACTTTGTTATGAAGTTATTTTCTATTTTGTGCTCTATTACGTATCGCACTTTTACCTCCAATGTCCAATGTATAGGTAGCAAATTGACCTCTCTCTTCGAAACAGAAAATAGATTTTCAATCACGTTGAGATCCGGGCTATTAGAGGGAAGTTGCATGAACTAGACCTTAGAGTCACGCATCTTTTCTGAAGTCGAAGTAGACAAGATATAAATTATTATCCATATATAAAGTATTAATACAGGTGTTAAATATAATGAAACTCCATTTCAAAATATTTTAGTGCATCACAATCGGCCATTACTGCAGTATTGAAATTGGTCAGGAAAAATAGAACACCATTCACATTCGGCTTAGATCATTCAGCAACCGCCTATTGTTAACTATAGATTTTGTTGTGTGAATGACCCGTGAACCGTGACGTACAGATTCGTTAAAATTTCGCATCTCTCGAGGAAAGGTGTGTACAAACAGACGCTTCTCACGTTCTCAGTGACACCGGTTTCGGCTTAGTTATCAGGTTGACTACAACTGAATGGCAAGTCGTTCCCAAATGGAACAGTTCAACTGCTTTGGTTAGTTTGTTAAAAATTGATGTTGTGGATTATTTAGTGAACCAGAAGGTTGGGGTCGTTCTGATAGTTACAATCTTTTCACTCAACTACTAATTGAAGGTAAGAAGATTGAGGTTAGGGAACAAGAAAAAGCTATTTTACTCAGTGTATGCTTCGCTTTCAATTAATAAGGGAATTGCTCCTGTGAGAGCCAAATATCATTGACCCGTTTTAGAGGTGTCTCAGTCCGCATACATTCTGAGCAGGTGAGCTCAATTCCATTCGATCGGAACGTTGATGATGTCTCACGTGTTACTGTTTATTTCCTTAGTGCGAAATGTCAACTTGCCAAATGTGAGAGCAAGTTCTGATTACACGTCTGGAATGACTGCGCAAATCTGTTTTCACTTTCCGGTTGTAACTGGTTCCCTCGGAGTTAGTCGCGGTAGATTTTATCTTTACTCGGTACATCGTTAAGTGATCTACTTATTATGGTCAATAATCCTTTTCAAATCTACTAACCATTAGTGGATCTGATATCGATTGTTCTCAGTGAGCTTGAAGGTGAACAAAATAACTGATCCGTACTGCCAGTTCAGATTTGAATAATCTAGATTATACTCACGTCTAGGTTTTGTTTGAAATAAACTTTCGCTACTTTATATTCGTCCCCCACAAAACAGATTTGGACAGTCGTGGGTCAATGGAGGTAAGTATGTGCACAATTGTGTGTTTGTAAAATGAATCGATGTTTTCTCAACACTTAAAATTCCTGGAGCACGCAATTGACAGTGCAAGGGGCGATGTGCTCTGATTATGTTTTCCACGCATGAGATACTGAGATCTCAAACGGCTGTTCGTCGGCGTACATTTACGTTTGTGCATACGAATAAAAATGTCTTTGGTTTCCGTTGATGTATGTTTCTTATCCCCTAAAATAAGCCTGATATTAACAGATTTTTAAATGTAAGTCCCACTTCTTTCAGTATTCTGGTTTTTACGGCCTTCCTCCAGTTGTTGTCACCTTCGAACGCCTTTTTTGGTTCGGCATAAGTTGAGCGTTTTAATCCGTTATTAATTCTATAAAAAACGCTTATAATAACTACCTTCATTTAATGCAAAACATAATTTAATAAACCATGGGGATAAAACTTCTAGGTTTTGGTTGTGGTATCCCTGGGCAGATTAGATAAATCAGACCATTCAGACTGTATGAAATATGCTCCTTGAACATCGTCATTCAATCGATTTCGGTTTGATGTATAACTTAATGGGAATTTAAAAGATGATGTTCCAACTCCAGAATCATACCTGTGTTTCAAAAGGCACTTTCGACGCTGAATGAAACGGTATTCAGACGGATCTTTCTCAGAAAACGTGTTGAAACCACTTGATTGGCAAAGATATCTGCGTAAAAAATTGATCACTTTCACACTCCCAGATTGCATTCATTTTTTTCGAATTAATGGGTTTTCTGATTCAGACTACTTCGACAGCCTTAACTATTCGATTAAGATTCTACACTCCTCCTGAAATTGATTATCTGTTGGGTCTGTAGTTGCTTGACTTCTGCCTAATTCGGTTTGGTTTGCGAGTCGTCTCTGCGACGATAAAATGAAGCTTTGCCCTGTTTACTCATCAAGATAATTCAACTGCACTGTTCATCAAATATTTGTTCCAGGCTTCCCCATTCGGCACATGTATGGGCCGTTCAGTAATTCATTCTCCGTAAAAAAAACACGTGACGCGCGCTACTCTCACCGTAATACACTTAAGCCCCTGAAAATCTCGTGCCCCTAGCTAGGGCAATTGAAAAGACTGCTACTTTTTGAAAGCAGGATGTAATTAGTAGAGTATGTCAAGAAAATAATTCACGGAAATTTATGAACTGCCTGATAAACGTTGTTGTAAAACTCACCGGAAGGTGGAAGTTGGAAAATTTAACAAATATTTAGATGGATTGCATATTTTAACCAATTTGGTTAGGACAAAAACACCCACGGTAGATTTTTGACGGTGCCTATTATACTTTTTAACTGGTTCTCACAACACCACGCCTTCAATAGTACTTTCTTTAACGGAGGGCTCATTCTGTAATCACGTCATGCCAGCAAGAATCACTGCACTGAGGAAAGCCGTGCACCTTGATCATAAAACGGATTAGAAGATTTCGGGAAAGAACGGGTGCATTACCAGTCATAGGTGTGGAATGACATTAATTTTCACAATTTTTACTATCTGTAGAACCAGTTCGAGGGAACAGCAATGCAGTCGTCATGGTTGAGCTGCTACGCCCATGCAAATTTCGAATTTGGGGTCAGAGCTGACCCTATTTACCGTCCCGTACACCATTTCAACGCACAGACCGCTAAAACCAACCTACGGAGTGCCAACTACAAAGCACTCATAGCGAAGCCCTGACGAAGTTGTTTGCTCATTGTTAAAGCCTATCGGACAAGCCTTTCTAAGATATCACGCACCCTAGGCGAATCGTGNGAATCGTGGTCCAATGTCGATCTGAATAAGGTGTGTAATGTCACAGGAAGTCATCCTTGTCTGTTGGGCAAATAACCGAGAGGAAAACAACTTTGGTCTCAGTAATGCCTATCTTGTTATTGGTAGTCCGTGGTTTAGTTTTGACCAGGCCTAATTTTATTTTTCAATCTGTAGAGATAAAATGCTTCAACGTTGCCACATTATGCTGTCTCAATTCCGATGTCTTACGAGGCTGTAGGTTTTGGATTTTAAAAATAGTTCTCACGAATTGCTGCAGGTCTGAGTGCAGTGTACACGTTACACTGTTTCGTAAACTCCCCGAACATTTGTAGTGTAAACTTCGAAAATGTAGGGTATTTCCACGGGCGAATGTCAGAGGGAAACTCACACATTCGCTAACCTGTCCACTTTGAGTTTGGGCACAGTGGCAGTTGTACCAGCCAACGCTTTCCGTAGCAAATCTCATCCTTCATTTTGACCTCTCAGTTCCACTCACGCCTCTTCCAACACTCACTCAAGTGCACGGAGCATAAAGATTCTGCATCATCCATCGATCGACATCTACTGATGACAAATCACAGTCCATTGACTTCAAAAGACAATTTAGAGTGACAATCGATTGAGCGATCGATAGCTCGCATGATTGCTCTCTCTGAACCTGTCACATTAGCGGACGGAGTTTCAGGGCCGAAGAGTTACTTTCACTTTAATATTCTAATCCTGACACTAAGAAAACACTGTTTGAAATTAAGCTTGTTTTCGATAACTTCTTCCTCAGGCTAGTGCAATTATATATTGGATTCGAAATTGTTCAATCAGTGTAATGGTATGATGTGATGCATATAATTGGTTGATTGTAATGTTGTGATCTGCGGTCTTGAAAATGAAGGGGCGTAGCTTTTATTGTTGTCTTGTACTTTGGGAATGTTCACAATTGGTAGATTGATTAAGCTGCCCCATATCTGGTCTGCATCTCTGGATCAGGCCAAATGTCACAATCGTTTCGGTCGGCTGAGTCATGTTGAGGCCAGGATAAGCGATTGGACTGAACGAATCCCTTTTGAGAATAAAGGGACGGATTGCGTAGGCGAATGGGTACCGCCTAAACTGTAGCAAAGTGCCGCAACGAACAGCTTTGGCTTGCTTCACTGGTACTTTGTAGACCACCCTGAATGCGTCCTCGTTTGCTTGGTGATCCGTATCTGTAAATTGTTCTACTTACTACTATACCAGTAATCGTTTTCCTCACATCCGTACTCAACCAGACCGGTTTAAGCTCTTTGATTCTTTGCAATAATTGTTTGATCGTTCTTTATACATAACTTGCCGAACATGAACAAAGAAACTGGTAAATGATCATACATGAGAAAATGATAGGCAATGTATCTTTAAGATTTACGAAAATCATTAATCGGCTTGTGAGTTGAATACGTAGTGTTTCAGCCACATAGCAAAATATCTCAATCAACTAATTATATGCATCACATCAGATCATTACACTCGTTTGACAGTTTTAACCCTATATTCCAACTTTATTCCACTTCCATCCCTGACCGTCGAACCTAAATGAACAGCAATTAATTGAGGAGAGTAAAAATCAATCACTTATTGGTTTATTAGTTAAAAATTTAAACTTTAGTATTTCAGCTTTTGTTCCGCGTTTTCGCGGTGTGGTGGTATCTACGCGCTCCTAGAATTTCCGTTAATGTAAGGAACTTTCTTGCTTCAATCCAGAAACACAACTATGATTCGCATGCTATCTCACTGTTAGTAAATGAAGCTTTTCATCCTGATAAACACAAAATAAGTATTAGTCGTGTCGAACGCTTTATTATAAAGTTGCACTGCTATTCCGATAGAACTGAGTGGTACGAAGCTGCTTCGTCAGGTTTGAGTACATCTTTGTCACTACCCCTCAAGTTCGCTAGTCTTACACAAACGCACTCACCTATTTTATGGGAATTTTTCATCTTTAGCTAAAAATGTAAACAATGGTTGTTGAATTAGTATTTACTGGTAAAATCATGTTAGCATTCAATTTCAGTCTTTCCTTCCAACAGTTGAGGTATCCTTCTGATGCTTCAAAGTTAATCCGAATCCCTTGAATCTGCTTCTACTTTAGTAGAAGCAATTTCGAGTTTTCTGTTGTGTACGCTTTCTTTTACGGGAATATCTCCTTACTGATCCAATGGTTGCATTTGTGAGTAATGGAGGATTTGATTCAAGTTCAAAGGTGAATTCGTCGTGTATATAGCAAATGAAGCGTGAACTGAAAGTCTAGGAAGCCTTGGACAGTTGTTTCGATCTGGTTGGGTCTCATCAGCAGTGCGAATCCACCGACCCAACTGGGCATCGCATTTGTCTTTGGTAAATAGCACTCACGTCAATACCCGGTATGCTTCCTTCTACTAACCCTTCATTCGATCATCCTCGGCCATCAATTTTGTCACAGCGCTGTGTATATTTGGATTCTGCTAGCATTTCCGAAATCCTAAGCTTCTGATTAATAACCGCAAAAATGGGCAAAAAGCGATAATAACAGTACGGCAAATTCGTGTATAGTCTATGTCAATAATTAGTCTACAACACTAAGTAGCAGCCAATAGGTAAGTCTCCAAAATGTTTCAATCAACTGGCGACCGATCAAAGGGTCATTATCAGTGGTAAAACATCAGAAGCGGTTGTCTGAAATGTGGGAATAGTTTAGAAACTGCTGTTGCCTTTCAGGGGTGCTGCATTTTAGAGGGCAGGTTATCCATGAAACTATATAAGTGACTTGGGCCCCTTTTGAAATTAGGTCTCTTTTAAAAAGTAGCTACTTGTCAAGGGTTTGACATCCGGTATACGTTTCAACTACTGCATGTAGGCGAAAAAAAACAATATTGCGAGTGCTTGAGAACCATTCTGAATATGCTGAAGGGTGAATTTGACCCAAAAACCCGGCAAGCATTGCTGAAGTTAGACATGAATATTAAGATGGTCTGCGTTCAGTACAAACATGGGTGCTTGAATGGGACAGATTACTATGGATGAGATCTTCATGTCTTTGAATGAACAGCTGTGATACGTGGTTCTATTAACAAAGGGTAACCCAAGCTGTTGAATCGTAAAGGTCAAATTAAACATTGTCAGTACCCTTCAAGACTAATTATTCTGTATTGAAGCATCATAATATGACTGAATGTTACTAAGAACGACGCTTCTCAAGCAGTTCACCTTTGTTGTCTAGTGTGTCTTCGGTTATTTCCTGTAATTTTGCCCTTTGCTTTATCTTCCGAATGAGTTATTCCTAAACCCATATCAAAGGGCCAAGTGTCAATATTTTGAATGGGTTTCAGCAGTGAATTGTTATGACACTGTAAAGCTGGATACGTTGTAGTTAAAACTGGCAGAGTCCGCATGTGAGGCTGTGTGAGTCCACTTCTGGAATAAACTGGTGGCATTCCCCGATCGGTCCTTTTGAATGCAGTGGAACGATACTGATATTAGTCGGGAAATTGTGGTTCATCATTTCTCTGACGGTTAAACGAAGCAGTACTGTTGGATGAAAAAAAGAAAGGATACGACAACACGTTCTGACCACTCCCGCATAATCTCTCTGATCAACACACACCCGAACTCTCAATGACATGAACTGGGATGACGAATTCAGGATCATGGAATTTCTCAAAATATTGACCTTCTTCCTTCGTTTTTGGTCATGAATCAATCATTAACTCTGCTCAATGAACACATCGGATGATATTTGTGTAGTCATGTGATTCTGTTTAAACGGATCACCCTCTCAAATTAAACAAATTTACAGACATGAGATTTCAAAAGGCATCATTACTGGAAAGGGGGACAGTGTTGCTCCCAGTTTTTGTTATTTTCTTTTTTCCCCAGGTTTCTGTACACTTGTGAAATTACACATCAAGGATGGTTAGATGTATTCGTATTTTACAGTGATGCTGACTGTTTGTCATTTTGTTTTTGGCAGAGCTTGCCTATGGGATCAGACAGTGGCTACGGACCACCACGAACTGAGAACTGGGTAAATGAAGCTCAAAAAGAACACGATCAGAGCTCAAATGTTTCGGTAAGCTCCAACTCATAGTGTGCAGAGCTTTTTGATTCCACACATGTGCTCTCACATCTGTAGACTGTCCATATGAACATAATAACACTAGAGAGAGAGAAAGATAAAGAGAGCAAAGTGAGCCGTTTAGGTACCCTTATTCCACACATACACACACATACATACATACATACATACATACGTACATGCATGCATACGTACACACTCACACGGGGATGCGCATACACTATTAATGCTCACTATAAATCAACTCATGGCACACTCCGGTGGATAGGTTGATCTAGCAACAACCACACAAACAATTCAGTGCTCGCTGACACAGACGTTCTGAGGTTCAAATCAGTGTTTTCCTGAACGATCCACAAAATCCATTCACTTGCCACTCATCACCACCACAAGCAAAGGTGAACGAATATGCGATTGAGAATGGATCCTATCAGTGTACAACCTTTGACCATGACGACATTGAGTGAGTCCTCGCGTGCAATTGATTGCTGTGGTAGGCCTCTGCACCAAAAAACATCCGCCTCGATCGCTTGTGGAAATCTGATAGCCGGTTGTTCGATGATGCATGTGGTGCGAGAAATCTGCTCTTGACTCGGTGCACCCACAACTCAGGTTGTCCTAGCTAGCCGCAACCCTTTTCCGGTTGCTTCAGGCAGTTTCATCTGATCGACAACATCATGTCCTTGCAATCAGTAAATTATTGCTGGTTAATCGTTGACGATATTGTATAATGATGAGTCGTTTCCAAACGACTGGATAAAATTTCCCTGGAAGCACACAGCTGACTTTGTTTGCTGCCAAAGCTATGCACTTCCGATAATCTTGTAACAGGTCATTTGTATACTTAGATGGTCGATATGTGTTCTGAGGTGCCAAATGTTATTTTCTGAAAAACATAACAATTTGACTTCGTGGACAAAGGGATTGTGTACAAACAGTAATTTAATGAACATGCTTCCGGGTGAATAGCCGCACAAATGCATTTTACCTTTTGTTTCCTTTAAGTGACAGCGAGAGCCGATAAGCAAATGGAGGAAGTACTTGAGATCTTCTATCTGATTAGGGAATACAACTGAATTTTTGAGCCTCAAATGTGAAAAACCCGCCTATTTGCGAGTAGGTTTTGAAATTGAAACAACTCAATGGTTTTTATTCCAGTTGGTCTTAACCATAAGAGTTGGATCACACTTGATATTATATTGGCAGTTCACTACTACTTGGTTCTTTTACTCCAATCTATAGTCAATCTTTGGTCAACACTCGGAAGTTGCTGCAACCGCTATCGGTGTGCTGTATAGCAAGGCGTTCCTATTTGACATCGCTTGTCCTCCCAAAGACAAGCGGAAAAATACTGTGTTTTGCTTGTTAACAATCATTTAGTGATTAAAATCTACCCACTGCAAGAAAAGATTTCTAAATGTCTGTAGTTTTCAAATACTGAGCGTTTACCTTTCATTTCACCAGTTAAATCAGGTTACATGATCTGCTCAACAAATAGGATCTGTCCGGCTAATCATTTTTATCGATTTTTACACGACACAAGTGCCCTTCATCGATCCGTGTTAGTGAAGGAGTGAAGGGTAGAAGTTTTCCTCACCTGAGTGATATTTTCAGCTATCGGACCAAATGATTGGCAAATTTCTCCAACAATGCGATTAATTGGCCAAAGACTGACACCCAAACGCATACGGGCACATAAAGGATAACTTTTCAAACATTTTGAAACTACTCTCCTCTCCTCTCTGTTATTCACTCGCGTAGAAACGTCAAAGAAAGGTGAGCAAAAATGAACTTGACGTTTAATTGGTCACAGATTCCTTTTCCCGTATCCTATAACATAAAGCAAATCAAATGACGTCTTCCACTGAAACAAATAACTCAGAGTGTTTTGAGCTTCATTTTCCCCAAATTTTACATAATTCTGATCCTCTTTGTGTCAGTTATCTTGATGGCAACTGTGATGCTATTCATATCCACTGTGAAATGTGTTGACAAGTGTGAAGCTACGCAACTGTCACCAAAATAAACACATACGGTGATAACTTGGTACGTTTGGCGAAAGGGAGGATCAATTTGTACCGGTGAATAGGGTTCTGGATACCCATTCTGCAACAATTTACCTCACCTTTACAACAACTTCCACTGTGGTGTCAATTATCCGGTAGGAATCGATCAGTTTTCTCCACAACGCAATATTCTCGTTGTCACGCAACGCAAAACACGTGCCCGCAGAAGGACATGTGACTTAAACAAACACACACACTAGCCTGTAATGTTTTGATGCTATCCAGAAAGGGTAATTGTAGCATCAGAGCTCCGACATGTTCAAACATGAAGATAAACGAGGACGTGATCGACATCAGCGAACACACTTTCTTATAGCACTGAACAATAACCAACAGTTGTCGTCAGCAGAGCATTATATGCATCCAGTACACCAATTTCTCGTATTTCTCCTTTAAAAAATAAGGATTTGTGCATAAACAATCCACTGGTCAGTAGCATTTCCAATCGATGTAAATCACTATCCCGTGTGGGTTGCCCGGATTATTCAGCCACATGCTCTCCGCTGGTCAATGTGGACTGGAAACGCTTCAACATCTGGAGAACCTTTCCTGATTGAGTTGGCAGATCGTTTTATTGTTGATCATGGTCACTGACTGGAAAAATACATTCCATCGTATTCACAATTACGCAGTTACCATCCACTCCGGTCTCAACTGCACGTATACACCTTTCCCCATCAAACTTTAGCCAGAAGCCGAAATTCTTTAGCTACGACCCGTATTCCTCTAAGATCGATACTGAATTTTTCGCCATGTCGCTGTAGAACACTAAACACATCTTCCCCATTGGTTGGTACACATCCACGGTTTATGGGATCGTCGCATATTTGGTCGAACTACCAATATGGGATTACCCACCATGGTAGAAACTAATGTGCATAGATCGGCTGTTGTGAACATACTCATCGTTCTGACTCGGTCGTACAGGCACGATAATCTCTCTCTCCCTCTCGTATTACCAGAATACACATATAGATTGATAAATCAGTACTCAGTTTCGGAGGTTCGTTTATCAACCCTAACTTCTTTATGAAGGTCTTATGCGTGGTGGATTTTTCAGTGTGAATTCGGACATAAAAATACCCTAATATCAATATCAACGCAGGGACGTATCAAATAAAACGTTTGATGATTCTGGTGATCGCTGGCCACCCAACTATTTTAACTTAATTTCAAGTTTCTGTTTTCTTATGCGATGTAATCGTGCGTTAGTCTATTCTGCTCGCACACGTATGGAGAGGCTTCTTTTGCCTCGTGATCGTCTGTGAGATACGTACCGATTTTTCTTCGGTATATTGCTGAGAGAGAGAAACGTGAAACTGACAGCGTATGATAAAAAGAGCAATAGTATTTTGGATATTCTCTTCATTGTTTCATACATCCCCGTTTTAGGGATACTACGAATGAAATAATAGTGGTTGAAGATGTTTGTTTGTATTAAACTATGTTATAAAACTTTCATTTATCTTTTCATTGTGAAGAAATCTGGTAATCGCTGCTGTTTCTGTGTCCCTCATTCACGTGAATAAAAATGTCCGGTTGCCGTTACTCTATGTAGCCTGTTGTTTACTGTTACTTCTTCTATTATGTTACGATCAGGTTATTTTTATCGTTCTGAAGTGCTATTTGCCACTTCAGTTTTAATCATACCAACACTTTTAGGTCACATGGAAAATACATTTGCACATTTCTAACGAGCCCATTGTTTTCGTTGCTCTTTTCAACCGCAGGGCCCCAGCCATTCTTTGTTANAGCCATTCTTTGTTACCCCCGGAACAGCGTAAACCACCTCCCGGACCGCCTAGTGATAGCTCCTACGAGCGCACGCCCAGTGCGATATCCGAGCGTCCCCCAGGCTCGGTCGCAAGTGTCTCACGTCCGGCCACACCCTCCCAACCCAGACCAGATCTCCACTCATCGTTCTCCGATCTACGCAGCCACGGTCACAAACCTCGCTTGAGCTCGGAGGCCGGGAGCAAGTCGACTTTGAGTTTAGCCAGCAAGGTCTGTGTGTGCATCCATTTTGCCAATATTCTCTCCTCAGTTTGCACGCATATATGACAATCTATTTTTTTGAACTCCAATCCGTTAAGCCAAGCAATATACAGAAAGGTTAGCCATATGTGACGCTGGACTAGACCTCCGAAACTCAACTTCAAAGCAGAAACTGATGATTAACGGGTAGATGTTAACGAGATCTTTCAGTTTGTAACTGAATTACCCCTTAACTTCACGAATACCGTTTCACTGACCATTCTAAGGTCTAGGAGCATAATGCAACTTTATGTCAATTCAATCGGGAAGAACCATTGATGTTATGTCAACGCTGTCAGCAACAAGATTCAAAGTTCGATTGTCATGTGTTCACCCTATCGTGTGCTCTACAATGTAGTTCATATTAAGTCATTATTTTGAATTGCATATTTGAGATATTTTCTATCACTGAGCTTCATTTTTAATCATTTGGCATCAAGTTAGAGCTCATATTCACGTGAGCAAATGACCCCGAAAATGTTTCATTTAAGTCACTGTTTACAACATTTGAGACTGAGTCTATTTGGTGATGCTACTTAATAAAAGAAATTCCTCCATGTAGGAGATACAAGCCAAACAATATTCTTCCCTCAAGCCACGGATATTTTCATGTTAATTCATTCGATTTTCCTACTATTCTGTTTTACTTTCTGTTGTTTTCTGTGCGTGAATTTACTGGTAATTTTTGATTTATCTGCATTTCATGCACCGTCCTATCTGACCAACAGTTTTTACACACCCACCAGTAACTCATCGTAGTCAATTGTATTTGATGGCACAGACTGAGTACTGTGAATATGAATCGATCAAGTACTGTTTCAAACACCGGTTTGATGATTGAACGCTTTTTCTGAGGGAAAGTTAGG